TCACCACCCTTGAGCCTCTGGCCTGTACCCCAGTTCTGTATGCATAAATAAATAAATCTTAAAAAAAAAATAGCATCGGATACTACAGAGAAACCTTTTGTAAAAGAAGTGACAAACTAAGTTGTCTCATTTTACAAAATTACCATAGCCACCCCATAACCTTCAGCAGCTACCACCCTAATCAGTCAGTAATTATCAGTGTAGAGGTTAGATCCTCCACTAATGAAAAGATTTTGACTCACTGAAGGCTGAGATGATGTTTGACATTTTTTGGCAATAAAATACTTTTAAATTAAGGTACACATGGTGGTTTTTATTTTAATACATAATGTTATTGCACACTTGAGAGACTACACTATAAGCATTTTTATATGCACTGAAAACAAAATTTTTTTCTGATTTGGTTTATTGCAATATTAGCTTAATTTAATGCAATGGTCTAAACTTAACTGGCAAATTATGGTCATACTTGAGTTTTCATAGAGACCATACAGGCTGCAAAGCCTAAAATACTTATTGTCTGGCCCTTTATAGAAAATATTTGCTGATTCCTGTATTAGAAGATAGTAAACTGACCATGTAGCTCAACTTACTTTTAGGTACTTCAAAGATTTCTTAGTAATGTGACTGTCGTAAGTTATTTTTCAGGTATTTGTTCTAGTACTTTTGTATCATAGATCTTTTTATTTGAAATAAACAATTTTTTTTAATATTGTATTCAGTTTGGTGTCAGAAATGCATTGAAAAAATTATTCTAAGTTAAAATTATGTATTTTAGAGCAATAATAGAAAATATGTAGATAGGTATTTCTATAGAACATATAAACAAGCAAATTATATTTGTTCCATCTGCAGCCATGGTAATCCTTTAGTATGTTTCCTCTGAAAACTTAAATACATATCTTTAAATCCAGATGAGGTTATGCCCTATTACTCTTACCCAGCCTGTTTTTTTAGTCGTCCAGCTTCATTTTTTTTATTTCAGTAATTTCTATAACATTTCCCAGGTTATCCAGATATCCTTAAAAGCATTTTCTAAAATCAGTATCTAGTCTAGAACCATATTTTGTGTCATATTACCATGACTTAATTGCAGTCCTTCTTCCCTTCCTTTTTCAAAATGGTACTTTAACATATAGGAAGGCTGGGTCCTCCCTGGTGGTGCAGCAGGTCAAAGCGCAACACTACAAAGCTAAAGCCACTGCAGCATGAGTTTGATCCCCGCCCCCAGATGACCCGCCCACTGCTCCTCTCAGCAGTGTACTTTGTCGATCTGCCTGTTCTGCTCCCCACTCTGTCTCTGGTGAATCCTCTCACTGCCCCTTCACCTCTGGCCTCTACCCCAGTTCTGTATGCATAAATAAATATTAAAAAAAGAAGAAAAACATACAGGAAGGCTATCTTTTGGGGATTTTTGGCAGCCTTGTTTTTGTTTCATTCAGCTTGTTTTCTGTTATGTAGTTCATCTAATTGGAAGTTACACCTACAGTTACTTTGTCATTAGGAATTCCTCAAGAGGTAAGCCCTAATGCCCTGAGGCATTCATTGATATAATGAATTCTCTTCTATGCATTAATCATGGTTCTGGCTATAGCCCATCATTAGGATAATTGGGTAAATAACCATTCAGAACAGTTTTTTATAGAACTTAATTCTTTCCTAGAATCCTGGTTGAAAGAGACTGAAAACTTGATAGATTTGTTTTAAAAGGTTAAAAACATTTTGCTTAAAATATATCAGGTATTTTTGTGTTGATTTTATCAGAGGAAAATACTTTTTGTTTGACTTTATATTAGTGGTGCTAGGACTGACTGGATTAGGTTAATGACATAGTTGATTCTTTTTATAGTTGCCCCCTTCTAATGGTAATTTATTTTACAAAAACTCAATTCGATAGCATTCTTTCTGCTAATGGTTTTAAGTTTCACTTGACACTAATCCCCTTAATTGATAATTTCATTGTGTTTTACAAAACAGTGTTTTAGTAATTAAATCATTCCTTCTACACATGTATTAGTTGGCATTCTTCTGTGTTACTACTACAAAGTCAGGAATAATTCTTAATTTTATAATCTACTGTTTTCAAAATAAGGACTTGTTTTTAGAAGTGCTTCAGACATTACTGTTTTTTTTTTTAGCCCCCCAGCATTCTCTCATGCAGTATAGACTCAGGTTTTTATTGATCCAGGATTTCTATCAGCCACATAACTTGATGCTTAAAATGTTGTAACTTTGGCCATTGGAACACGTGTTTGCTTCCTAACACACATAGATGAATAATACTAATCTTGTTACCGCCTTTTTAGCATACAAGAACTGGGGTACAGGAGGTGAGAGGATTCACCAGAGACATAGTGGGAAACAGAACAGGCAGATTGAAGTAAATAGCTGAAGAGAGCAGTGTGCAGGTCTGGAGGTCTTCTGCACTATGTGGGTAACTTCCTTGGCCAGGAATTGAATTCTCAAGCTTCAGTGGCTGTGGATAGCTTCATAAGTGGTGCCCTTTAACCCTTTGCAGCACCAGGGAGGCCCTGGATTTTTTTTTTCCTTAAAGATTTATTTATTTATTTATTTGTGCGTACAGAGCTGGGGCACAGGCCAGAGTTGCAGGGACAGTGAGAAGATTCACCAGAGACAGAGTGGGAAGCAAAACAAGAAGAGTGACCAAGTATACTACTGAGGGGAGCAGCAGGGGAGACAGGAGAGGTCTGCTGCACCATGTGGTACCTCTGGGGCTGAGGGCTAAGGATCGAACCTGCACCGAAGTGGCTGTGACCAGCTTGCAGTTCTGTGCCTTATCACACTGCGCCACCAGGGAAGGCCGGAGATTTTTTTAGTAATAGTTATCAAAGAAGAACCGAAGGCAACACTTAGTTCTGAAGCTCTGTGTTATGTGTTTGATTTAATAAGCAGACTTTCTTTTCTTCATAGCAACTAGTTTAAGATGTGGGGTTCTTTCTAAATTCTGTCCTTATGTTTGAGTTAGTAAAATATACAATCAGGTTCTTCCATTTGTAAACATCATGCCTCATTGAATGTGAAATGTCATTCAGGAAGTATAAAGGGCAAGCGATTATATGAGTTTACATCAATAACTTCAAAGATTTAAGTGTGTATGTACACGATTGAAGGAGGGGAAGAAAGAGGAAGGCAGAGGTGGGGACTGGAGGGAGGGAAAGAGTCCTCTCATTCATTAATTTACTAAAATAGTCAGTGACTTGACCCTTTTTAAAATGTGCTAACAGGCGACAACTAACATCTCTGAACATTAATCTCGGATCGTTGGGAACAAATACTCCGAAGAGTAGCTAACAAGAGGAAAACATTGAAAGAAGAACCATAGTTGATATTTTCTATTCTCAACTATATACTTTTCTAGTGACTTCTCTTAGTCACTCCAATACCTCAGTTTCCCAATTGAGAAAGTGTAGATAACAGTAGCACCTACCTGTAATTTTTAAGGGGATTTAATGAATTAAGAATGTTGAGAACATGTCACTTAAAAGTACTTTTAAAAAAGATTTATTTATGCATACAGGAGCTGGGGTATAAGCTCTGGGGGTTTGGGAGTGTGGGATGGTGGGGAGTGAGAAGTTTCACCAGAGACCCGGTGGGGAACAGAACAGTTGGACTGATTGAAATACTCTGCTGAGAGGAACAGTAGGCAGGACAAGAGAGGTCTCCTGTGCCATATGGGTCAGTTCCCTGGCCAGGGATAGCTTCATAGTGCTGTGCCTTAACCCATTGCACCATCCGGAAGGACTCTTAAAGGCACTTTTAATTGTTATTGTCACCTTCACTATAAAGTGAAATGATTATAGTAATGTTTTAATGTAAAGATTGATACTACCTTTTTTGTTCTTCTTTTCAGATGACCTGTGTTGAAAAAGCAGGAACAGATGAGAAAATGCTTATGAAGGTCTTTCGCTGTTTGGGAAGTTGGTTTAATTTAGGAGTTTTGGATAGTAACTTCATGGCTAACAATAAGTTACTAGCACTTCTTTTTGAGGTTTTGGTAAGTAATAGCTTTGTTATCAGTTCTTCTGCCACGTATTTAATTAGACTGACTTGTGACTTAATGGTGTTTTCAGATTTCTGCACAGAAATTAGAATATTAGGTATAAAAAAGCAGCAGAATCCTTGTTGCCAAATACTAAACTAAGATATTGTTTTAATACTCAAGAGAATAGGTTTAAGAGAAAAATGGTCTGTGTCTTAATCAGTGACTTGCACATTAAAATTCAAGAAACAAAATACCCTGGTTTCTTTTTTCATGTTTTAAAGTTATAAAGTGGTGTATTTTTATTAATTTTCATTGGATCTTTGAGATAATTATA